TGGAAGATATATAAGAGATCCAAATAAAGAAATTGCTTTAAAATGTTTGCATAACTCACAAGATCAAGTTGAATCCTTATTAAATGAGGTATATATAGCACTACTATAAATATTTAAAGTTTTTTTTAATATACTTTATTAATCTCTTTTTTTTTGTGTCTTAGGTTAAAAAACATTTGGCAACAAAACATGAAATTCTTATAATATATGGAATATCACAAAATCCAAATACAAATGATTATATTTTAGTTCAAAATAACATCATAGACTGGATAAGTAGTAATGAAATGATTGATGAATTTATACAAGAATTGCAATTGAAACCAAAAATCTTGATATAGTATTTGAAATACCATGGGGATTGGAATCGATTTGACTAAAATCGATTTAATCAAAAATCAAATCGTATCTAATAGAATCGATTAATCAAATCTAAAATCAAATCCAATAAATCGAATTTTTTATATTTTGGCGCAGCAAATATAATCTTGCTGTTTCTATAACCACGCCACATCGTGATGGCTTTTTGACCAGTAATAATTAGATATTAGACAATTAGACAATTGAGAATTTAATCAAACATTATCCAATCAAGTTAATTGTGGCTAATGTTTAATTAATTAAAAAAAAATTTTTTTTATTAATAGATAATTTCGAGTTCAGGGGCATGGATCAACATTTGGCCAGAATTAAATATAATTCTATAATGCGGGCCAAAAATATCTACTGCATATTTATGCATATTTTTTTATTATAATGATAACAAATTTCGACTTTTTATATAATAATTACTTTAGCTAATAGATTTTCAGGGTTTTTATTCAGTGAAAAAATAAAATCATTTTACTTTTTAATCAAAAACTTCCAAATTTTATAATAAAGATTATCTTAGTATTTTAATTAAAATCCACCTAAAATTTTGTGTTGCCGGGATCGTTGCATCACGAAAATGTTTAAAAAACGATTTTTTGTAAAATTACTGAGAAACGATTAATCGATTCTTAAATCGAAAGTATCTATCTAATCTAGCAAAGAATAATTACTAGCGTACCGTGAACTCCTAAACGTAACTATATTGTTATGATTCTAAAGATCTGTGAGATCATTTCTAAACCAAACCATATCAAATCTATCCCCTGATTCCACAATATATCCAACCCACCTATTAAAAAGCGTCTAAACTAAATTTATTTTTTACTTTATTTTTTTTTATTTTTTATTTTTTTAAATTGTAGTGCATTTCTTTATTAACTATTGCGAGTGTACATTTGAAATACCTAGTACCACGGACTCCACAGTCACGCTTTCTCACTTACCTTTTTGCCTGCTTTTTTAATTGTCCTCGTTATTCCTTCCTTTTTTTCCATTTAATAATTTCTTTACATCTTTCATTCCAAATATATCGTCGAGCATATTCTTTAATATTAAGCACAAATTCTCAAATTCTTGAATAGCATCCCTGAATATCCTGTCATTAATATCTAAATAGAGTTTTTTATTGACAATACCCTTGACCGTTTCGTGAAAAATTCTTCCGTTAAAATCATCATTGATCTTTCATTTAATATTTGTAACAATTTGGCATGATAGTTGAATATTATCCTGAATTCATTTTCATCTAATCTGCATTTCAACTTTTCAAACGTCTCATTAATAATTTGTATTATTGTAATATTCATTTTCTCTGCAAATCCATATATGCGTTCACGTTTCAATCGTTGTATAGCACCGACAGCATAAACTACTTTCAAAAATCTCTGGGTTACGTTTATTTAATCAGTAGAATCTCTAGATAATTTTTTAAAGCGTATTAGATGTTTTCATTGTTTGAACTAGAAATGTCTCCTTTAAAATCTTTCATAATTATATTTAGCGATGCTGACCAGTCTAATATCAATATCTTTAATATTAATCCTACATGATCAATTAATATCCAACGCAAGCCAATCCGCTTTATATTTTAATTGGTTGATGTTTTTCATAAATTCTCGTGGAAGATTTAATTATCGTGTTATTCCAAAATACCAAATATTCCCACGTATAATCATTGTTAATAATAATTTTGCTTATAATTTTTCGTTGTTATCGAATAATGCCGCTTTGCATGCTCTATCAGCTAAATCGTTACCCAAATTATTTGGATGACTTTTAACTTTAAGAATAGAAATTTCAAGTTTGTTATCTTTAATAACCGTGAGAGAGAGAGATTAAGAAGATGTACTTAGGCAGTGACACATTTGTGATCACGTGCAACCAATCATTTTCTTTATAAATTGTGTAATCTAAGATTTTGAGCGTCAATAAAATGTCATTGCCCTGAATATTTTTATTTTTTACTAAGGTATAAATTGTTATTAGCATATTTAAATATACTTTACATATTTAATATATTTCTAGTTTTTAGTGCGTAAAAATCATTATTTTGTTCTTTAATTACGAAACCAAGTTTTATTTTTATTTTAAACTACTTAAGTCGAAAATTTTAAATAAGATTTCTCAACTGTCGTTTGTGTGTATTTAAAAATACTCTGTTAAGAAAAGACTAAAGAAAATCTCTATTTATCTGTTTAGAAATTTACATAGTAATCAATCTTGCTTTATTGATCACTTTAATATTTTGTGAATTTAATAAATAAAATCACTTGACTAAAGATCGCTTCTTTTTACTTAGAATCTCATCTCAAAATATGGCGAATGATGAGTTTAAGCTTCAACTTGCTCAAGCCGGTTTATGTTATTAACTAAATTAATAAATATGATATATAGTCTTTGATATCATTAAAACCATGACTTTATCTGAAAGGAATGTGTATTTTTATAACAATTTGTTTTTTATCAATTAAAAGCAATTGAACAAACGATCTATTTGAATACAATAAAAGAATAAAAATTAGCTAATTGAAAAATTTGTAAAATTATATGAAACCTTTTCGTATGTAAATTTTAAATCAGATCAGCTTGTATGAGTCGTATATTAATAATAAACTTTATAAAATACTATTTAATCATTATTATACTTGCAATAATAATGTAATCATATCTCAATCATTTAGAAACTTTTATTCTTTCACATACATACAGTGTGTTAAGAAAAATAAATGATGACTCCGAAGACATATGAAGAAAAATATTTGCCCATCTATTAGATTCTTTAGGCACTTGTATATCTAATATAATTTTTGCTTGTAAGACAAGTTTGATATTAGCACATCAATATATAATTCCTTTTATCTAGTCAATTTATAGCAAATAAGTTTTTTTTTTGTTTTTTTATGTAATATTTATCATGAATAATTAGTAAGCGACATATAATTTGAAGAACTGACGGATAAAGATTTATTATTTGAGTATACGAGGTTGTATGTTATACAAAGTTTAATTTTGGGAAAAATTGTTATTAATTCGCTTTAAAAACTATTTTCAATGGTTTTCATAATCTTACATTAAGAAATCCAAAATATTATTAGAAATATTTACGAACAAATTATCCTTCTTAGTGTGAAATTTATGATAAATATAATTAATTATCCCACGGTTCCTAGTTAAAATTTGTGATTTTTTTCTTAATATTCTCACGGGTGGTGTTTATTTTAAAAGATGGGTAAAAAGTCTATCAATATTGGAATAAAAAGTCAATTAAAATAAATATATTAAAGGGCTTTATGGTACGGATACCGTGAGATAAATCAGTTATTTCACGGAGTCACTGGAATATTTTTCGGCTGCGCCGTGAAAGTCATTGATATCTACAGTTCCCCGTGAAATAACTATTACGCACAAGAAATCTATAATCTATTACTAGTTTACTACTGTACATTCTCAAATTAACGATACTTTAAATTTATTCACTTATTGTTAATTTCTCATGTATTGGTTGTGTTCCATAATATAGTTTAAATGAATCAAAATGTTAATAGTTTACAAACTGCTTTATTTTGATTAAAGGATATAATTTATAAGTTATAACAGAATTCATTATAGTATATTTTATCGAAAATGGAACGACAATATTAATGGCTGCAGTAAAAATTTGGAAAATATGTAATGCATTTTTATTATAATTTAAGTATGATATCATTACAGTTTATAAAGATCTATAGTAAAGCTTGTTATATCGTGATGCAAAAAAAAAAAAACAAAATTGCTTTAGATGTAATCCGGATATGCATTATAAAAATTTAAATTCGTATCTATTGATTTAAAAGTTTTGTAAGTAATTAGTTGAAACTTCGATTTTATTTTTCAAATTTTAATAATTTAATTTCACTGTCTTATAAATAAATGATTTAATCCTTTACTATCTAATTTACTATTGATAGAAGTTAAAAAATAGTTGTAACTATAATAATTTGCTACTTTATAATTTACTCGTCTGATAAAAAGTAATGGCTATTTTTAATTTTGTATTTGTAGTAACATAATTATTTGAAATAAAGTAAGTATTACTTGATAAAGTAAAACTAGATTCTTTGGAGAAGATTCTGAAGTGGATTCTGACTTGTTTGAAGGTGACGAAGGTGACGAAGGTGAAAAAGGTGACAAAGGCGACAAAGGTGACGAAGGTGACGAAGGTGACGAAGGTGTCCCTTTCGGTTTAAAAGTCTCTATGTTTATTGTTTTAATTTCTGAATCAAATCCATAACCATCTATTTTAAGAGTTCCATTTGTATTGATATAAAATAAATCTCCATCTATTATTACACCTCCTGAATTTTCCCTTTGAAAATAATATTTAATTACATTAACATCAACATCAGTCATTTTAACAACTTGTCCGCTTTTGCTCAGTCTATCTGCTTTACAAGTAATTTTGATTTTTGCATTAAAGGGTGCTACAAGATCAACCTTATCTACATTAGCAATGACTTGTACTGAGGTATAAGGTGGTACAATGACTTTGTGTTGAATATGGTATGAAACTTTATCTGTTACACTACCTTTGTTTCTTTCTTCAACTGTCGATTTAATCTCACCTTCAATCCCTCCACTAACACCTGCTTTCAACTGTAATATATCAAAAACACTTACACCAATTTCAAAATGTAAATCAATATGTGCACCAATTTTAAATGACTCTGATCTTCTGATTTCCAAAGAAAAACTATTTGATTTTGTTTCTATTCTATCAACCGTTTGTTCTATAGTTACGTTAGTTGGATTCAAAATTTTATTATTACCACTTAAAAGGTTAATTTGTTTTTTGTTACGATTTCGTGTATCATCATAATTTAAATCAAAGTCCGTTATTACTGTAGTTAATTCATAATTGATGGGTTCAAATAGCCATTGTTGATGAAGATTATCCTTATCAGAAGGTAAGATATAAACTTTTGTACCATTACTATCTATGGCAATTAAACTATTACGAGTTTCATCTTTCATATTAGCGATATTATATGTATTATTTCTGATTTTTCTAAATGTCCAGTGTTGATTTTCATTAGTAATGAAATTATTTTGATGGCTACTGACATATGCTACATCACCATTGTTATCTAAATTTGTACCTGATCCTATATTTACAATATTATAGATATTGTCTTTAACCTTTCGTAATGACCAACGTTGATACGGATCAGAATCATTAGATTGAGCTACTGTAACATATTCATCAGAACTAACTAAGTTCAAGTCTGACATGTTATGAACAATGTTATATATTATTCCTTCTAAAAGATCATAGTCTTCAGGGACATCAGTAATAACTCGATCATTAGGAATTAAAGAACCATATGTAGAAATCGTAAAGAATAGGAAAAACTCTAAAAGATAATAAAGAAATTCACTATTTTTTGTTACTTTCATGGTTTTAAATTAGAAAAGTGAATTATGAGGAGGAAAATGTGAATATGTAGTCTATATTTATTTAACACCACGGCCACATAATATCAGAATAAATAGTTAATATATAGTATAATAAGTTCTTTATGTTATTATTCTTATTTGCGTAAAAGTTGGCTTAGTAGCTATCTATTAATCTGCTTATCCCGTTTCCTCTAGCACAGTTTTGCCATTAATATAAAAAAGCTGTTATTTATTATCTTTTATTATTTAACATTTGAAGGCTATTATTTCTTTTTCATTGGAAACGCAAAAGTTGGCTTGGCTACTATTAATTTATTTATCCGTTCTTCGTTACGGTTTTGTTTAATTCAAAACAACATTTTTTTGGAAAAACAAGTTGGACTGAAATGACTTAGCTATAAATCCGTATCCTTAGGCCTCGCGGCTTCATTATTAAGACATCAAAAGTTGTTTTTCTTTTAAAAAAACATAATTTTGGGCTGATCTGACTTAGCCATTTAATCTGTTGACCCGTATCCGGGTTTAACATTATTAAGACATCAAAAGTTGTTTTGTTTTTTTAAAAAAAACATAATTTTGGGCTGATCTGACTTAGCAATTAAGCTTACCCGTATCCGGGTTTAAAATTATTAATACATGTTGCAAATCAATATCTTGTTTTGGTAACACAAGTTGGGCTGATCCCAACTTAGCCATTTATCTATTTATCCGTATCCTTATATCACTAGTCCTATAAAACAAATATTTTTTAAAAAAATTTAAAAACAAAAAAATCGAAAAAAGTGAAAATATTGAAAGTATTGACATTTAACATTGAAGTATCTGATACTGAATTGTCGGATATTTTATATAGAGAAATTTGAGAAATCTCTTTTATATTGATTTATCGTTATACGGTATATAACAATGTGATTGGTTGGTTGTGTAGTATAAATTTCCTTTTACGGGGGACGTCTAATGCGAAGCTGGGTCACGTAATTTATAATGTGAGCCAATGTACAAGCACAAAGCTACGATTTCAAAATTTTTTTTTTCAGAAATTTTTTTTTTTAAAAAAAAAAACCATAAAAATTTCATGATTTTTAAAAATTCCATGAATAAATAAAAATTCAAAAAACTTCTAACGTAGAAATAAAAATCTCTGTTCTCTCAACATCATCCTCCTCTCCTCTTCGACACTCCAGTATCTGTCACAGATTCTTTCAGTTAATTCGAACACAGTAAGTTTCGACCTTCAGCTTTATTTTGTTGCTCTGTTTGTACAAACCCATCACTAACTCACGATGTTTGTATACTTCAAACCTGTTCTCCTCAAATATATTCTGGAACATCTTCCATACGTCAGCAGTTAATAATTTCACTAGTGTTTCGATCCGTGACCGGGTTCAACTGGATGAACCCGTATAATTTTATTTTCAGTTTTTATCTGGATAAATATCCGGTTAAAAATATCCGGTTTTGAACCGGAATCCCGGATAATAAATTCTTGAAAAAAAAAATCAAAAATTCGATTTTTAATTTTGAGATCGATAACACCATAATAGTAGTGACGCCTGGCGCGGAAATTTGATGAACATAATTTTAACGGAAAATCGAACTTTTTTTATATACCATTATTATTATAATTTTGTGTAAAATATTTATAATTTTTATGCTTTATTATGCTTCATTTTATCTGTTTTCATATTTATTGTAATACATTTATTGTGAAAAAAATATTTACATTTTTTTTTACAAATTTTCAAAAAATTTAAAAATTGGTAGCATAATTTAGGTAAAAGTCATAATGTCGACCGAAATTATAATTTGATTTAACCAAACTTTTACGTCGGTGTTATTCATGATTCATCAGAACATTTCATTAGACTATTTTGTAATGTTGCATAAATAAATTTATTTGTCTTTGTTATTATTATACGTTCTACTATACTTTTTTTCTTTAATGATTTTTCAGCTATTTTACTTTTTACTTCTATTAGAACTCCGAACGCCGAACGACCGAACGAGTAGAATAATCTTGTAGATCTTGTCTTTTATGAATAATGCCGGTCAAATTTTTATTACCTTTTTAGATACTGACTCACATTATCTTAATTCCGACCCTGAAGAAATACGTACAATAGACTACTCTTTGATCTGACCTCTATATATTCCGGATTCTCTTATTATTTTTTTTCATTAAATAAACATGAAAATGACTTGTAGAAATTGTTTTAGAAATATATTTACTTATTAAGTATTTTTAATATCATATATTTATATAAAATTTCGTACACCATGTCTCGCATGAGTTTTTTTTTTTCATTCATAGCGTAAGACATTATACAACAGAAAAAAAGGCTGAAGGCATGATGATAATTAAGCTGACCAATTATAACCTTGGTGGCTCTATTTTTCTCCTAGCCAGTAGATGGAAGATGAAGATGATACAATTGACGTTATGGTGGAACAAATAGGTTAATAAAGATACGATTTATTTATTTATTAGTTATCATTTTGACCATTATTCGCTATGAAAAAAATTTCGTTTATTGTTCTATATTTTTTTTTAATTGTTCTTATTAACATTAAAATGTTTGTTATTTCTACTGAAATCGTTTACACGAATGAGTTTATTAATGGTATATTTGATAATTTTTACAGGTGAGGCGAATAACAATGAACTCCATCTTATGTTGAGGGGGACCCTAAGGTATTTTTAAAAATTAATTTTGAAAATATATGATGTGTTAGTTTTTTATTTTTTATAAACTGAAATTCTTTGCTTTAATAATGGCCTATTTGATGATAAATTACGTCTATTATTCCAGTAATTTCCGAAGGATTGAAAGAAATACAGCTCATATCATCTATTCCACACACTTCTGTATCTTTTTATTCCTTAACAATATATTTTTACTGAACCAAATCGTTATGTCGTTAATGAAGTTATACCTACAACTACTGCTACGCCTAAAAGAAAAGTTGCATTCGCCGTTGAAGATTATTTAAAAGTTTTAGCAGAAATAAAACACATGAGAAAACAAATCAAAAGATAGAAACTCTATTAGAATTAAAGAAAATGTCAAAGTAGTAATTATGTAATATAATATAAATAACCAAAAATTGAAAGTGCTATTAATAACATTATTTGCATAAAAAAAATTTGAGGTCACCACAAAGTTATTTCATTGTTTTTACGAAATATAAAGGAAAAACATTAGTAATATAAGATATTCAATAATCGTAATTTTTATTTAAGTACGGAAAAATTTTGGAACCCACAAACTAATCTGGCTATCTGACCCATGACATTAAAAAAAATGATATTCTGAGTATAATGACGGATCAATAAACGAATAAAAGAATAAAAGCATTTATGTATTTTTCTGATATTAATGGTAGTCCGCTTAAATCATTAAAGATTTTTAATCATATTTAATGTAAACCCGCAACGATATTTTCTTGACTATTTCCTTTTTAGAAAAATAATACTTGTTACAATATGTCATCAAAACACTGTCACGAGTTTAAATGACATTTAAGATATAAATAAAATACATATATTTATTATAAATTCCAAAGCGAATGAAAAGAATTAAAAATGAATTTTCTTTTTTTTATCACTAAAATTATCCATATTGTTACCACCTATTTGGGTGACAAACGAAAAAGTGAAATATAGGTAAATTAACAGGTATCTCAGGAATTATCTGTCGGTACTGCCTCTCTGCGCGTCTGTAGCGACCAATTCACAATGAAAATATACGCGAATCGGTTAAAATAATAAAGTTTTAGAAAAAGACAAATTTGAATTAGAAATTCAAATGGTACATAAAGGAAATTTAGAGAACAATCGATAAATATCGGTTTTATTAATGAGTTACAGGATACACGCTCTCTATCGTCATGAAAAGCTATTTTTATAAAGAATTTTCATCTATAGATCGGTAAAAATCTAGATTTCTAATTGTGACTCATTGACATTCATTTAAATTTGTCCAACACAATTTGGAATCTAAATATGTATTCATTCAGATAAAATGGAATCTAAATATGTAGGTTTAGAATCTAACTCAATAAAAACTTAATAAATTCTTAATGATATTCAATACATATTGATATACAATATAAAAATAAAAAAAAATAACAATAAAAATAAATAAGTAATAATAAATAAATAATAATAACATAATAAAATATCCTCCTAGATAACAATCACCAATTCCAACTGTCACCTGATTTCGCGTAACAATATTATCAATTTATCATCCAATCTTTCATTTTAATTTTATTTGTAAATTCATGAAACCCTTCACAATGAAAAAATAACATTCGAAAGCTCTTGGTCTGAATAACAAAAATGTATTTTACCATTATACAGTATATAACGAACCTCAGGAACTATATCGACTTCATGATCGATATCAAACTAATTAAAGGCATTATAACTATCCAAGCAATGTATAAGGTCATATTCTTTATTAAACAGTTTCTTCGTATTTCTTTCTGATCTCGTCAACGTTCGCATAATAATAACTAAAAATTCCAGATAAATAAATAGATAAATTAGATCTATTAATTGTATTAATTAATTTTAGTAATTTATCTTACATGATATCAGGAACCAATCAGTCCGACGTCTTTGATGCGGTAGTGAATAAAACAATTCAATGTCTTTTAAAATCTGTGAAAATAAATAAATAAGTCTAAATTGTAATATTTTATTAATAAATAGTATATTAAGACTTTTATTTTTACTTATTTTACTAACCTCGGCTTTTTGTGACAAATAAAACTCGATCATTATCTTTTTCAATAGCATTGTTTAAAAGTCCAATGAATAAATTCATTAGATATATAACAATGACAAATGTAAAAATGACCATTAATACAATTAAAACTGTATTGTCTTTAGGTGACCATGCATCCAATGAGTTTTTGTCTAATAAAACTAAGAATGAATGAGCAAAACTAATAATAATAAGGAATAAGATAAAAAGAAATGAAAATATTGTCCAACGCCAATTATGATAGCAAAGTAAATTCCAAAAGTTTCAAATGCTCGAAAGAAAAATAAAAATTTGATATCAAGTAAAAGGCAAGAAATTGAAATTAAAGGAATGACTTTAATATCAGTACAAATCCAATAAATTGATGTTATTGTAGGTAATAAATGAGCACCCAAATCTATAAATAATATAAAGTTAAATTAATTTCTTAAATAGTATTTAGCATTATAACAATACATACCAAAAAAATTCCAAACATTAAACCATTGTTTTGGATTCCAAATAAATTGTCGAATTTCAAATGATAAATGAATAAATCCAAATATAATTGATGAAATTAAAAGATCTTCTCTTGCTTTTGCATTAATTACTTTGGATGAAACTGTTGAAGCCAAGGTGAAGCATATAAGAAAAATCGTAAATAAGAACCAAATAGCAGCATAATAATATCGACCAAATAACCTCCATTTAAAATTAATAATAGCTTCTCCATTCCAAGATTTATAAAATTTATCATTAATTCATGTCTTTGAAAAAGGACTAGATTTGGGATTAAAGAGTTCTATAAATAGATTATATTCTTTTGGATATGTTACATAATTAGGAAAGGGAACGAAGAGTTTAAGTTTTGGCTTTTTATCTAGTTTGAATTTTGTAATTAATTTTGTAATTAATTTTGGAACAAATTCTAACAATATTAAAATAAAAGGAATAGTGATAAAGAGAACAACGAAAACTAAAGCAGTTATTAAAAAACCAGTATCTGGTTTTGTAGTTGCAAGTGCAATAAATATTACCATCATGATTGGAATAAAAATACAACATTTTTTATACACCAAAATTTTTTAGTACACCAAATACCACAACTAACAAAATCTTTACAAACACTATTAAAGATGGAATTACGTGTTTCTAATTCCATACATAAAGAATGAAGATGGTCAAAGTTATTATAAATATATTCATCTGATAACTTAGGAAAAATCTTTTTTTCCATTTTTTCTAATTTATCATAATAATTTAACAAGAAATCAGAATATTTTTGACCTAAACGATTCATATTCTTACATATTATTGATAATATGTAAATATTAAGATTTTGATTTTCTTTATAATATTCTAGAGTTTTTTCAATAATATCTTTTATTAAATCTTCATTATTTTTTTCAATGGCTAACTTTAATAATCTAATTCCATAACGTGTTAAAAAATCCTTTTGACTCAATAAATATAAAATCCACTGCTTTTTCAAGTTATCTGTAGGATTAACAATTTCATCAATTTCATAAGAATTTAATCTAGACTTAGTTGCATATTCCAAAAATTCAATATTAAAGCATTTTTTTTGTATTTTGTATCCCATATCTAATGTGTAAATATATAATTCTCTTTTTTTGTATGTTTTTTTGTGTGTTCTTTTGTGTGGTTCTATGAATTTTTTATAACAATATGATCCTTTTTTGCCTTTTTCATCACAGCCTCCATAAAATAATAATGTGTTGTCACAAACTTTCTTATATTTCCACTCTTCACACTTCAATTTTGTATCATATGAATATATCTTTTTACCATTTGATATTAATATTAAGGAATATTCATCATGATTTTTGTTCTTTTTTCTTACTTCTTTTATTAATTCATTTTTATTTTGTTCTTTCTTCACTTCATTTTGTTTTTTTATTAAATCTATGTAATGTTCTATAAACTGATCTTCATCACTAAATTTTTTAATGTTATAAAATATATTTTCATCATTAATCCCTTTCAATTTTAATGTATTTTCATTTTCATTACCATTAACTCCATCTGGATTTATGATTAGCTTATAGTCAACTTTTTCATGAGAATCTTTTTCAAATAATATTTTCCAATTGTTATAACAATATATATATTTTAGTAATCCATTGATTATTATTATAATAACAATATAAATATGCTTTGTTATCCTTAAATTCAATATGAACAAAACGATCATTAAAATCAATATTTGGATCATTCTCAGATTTAAACGCAGTATATAACTCATTAATGTTAGTATTTTTTTTTAATTTTTTTTTCCAAGAATGAATACTGATGTCATCATTTGATATTGTGATGATGTATTCGTCTTTATCATCATGAATGATACCAAAATCTTGAACTAATGTTGAATGATCAATAACCCCGATTGGAACATAAATGTTATTGTTATTAGAATAAATATAAAGGGTACCATTAATATTTATAACTGTTATATTTTTAGAAAATTTTAACATGATTTTTTCTTTTTCCTATTAATATAAAATAATCAGAAATAAATAACATTTTCATCAAGTAGTATTTTCCAATATTGAAATGTATATATACCAAATAGAACTTTCAAATAATGAATTTTAGATAATTGCAATAAATCTAATATAAATAAATTATTATCTACAAAAACAAGTAACTTATCATTAATTACTCCATCAAAAATTTTGTCCTCCTTATTCAATTTATGTTCAGCCTTACGCTTTCGACCATCAGAAGAGTAAATTGAAATGGCACGTTTATGATATGCTACTATATCTCCGTTTGAAAGAAAGTCATATTTCGCATCGCGATTGCCTTTCATTTTATAATCATGTTTTATGATACTACACGGTTTTTGATTCATATCATAGATAGATTCTGTATTATGACAAGAATGATTAATGAAATTTTAAAACATCAATATAATTTATCATTTGAAAATCAATTTACCTCCGTCTAATATGATAATTTTCTCGTCTGAGACTTTAAAACTTATAGAACGAAAGAGAGACGGACTCGAATCATATTTTAATGATATTTTACCATCATCATTACTATCATTGCTCCAACTAATATAAGTCCCGTCATCCTGACTATAAGTAACAATGCATTTTGATTGTGGAGAAATGGCCATTTTAGTTACTGAATTACCATTATGTGCATTATATGGTAAGTTTACGGTGTCTCTAGTGTCTATAGATATAGGGTCTATAGTTATGGCTACCTCTTTAATTTGACTCATTTAAAATTTTGAACGTCCAGCTTTTTAAATGATTACCGTAAATTTTGGGGAAAAATATATATATATTTCGTAAAAAATGAGAAAAGGTCATATATCTTTTAAATTTTACAAATTGGTTTGTTTGGTTTGTTTATATGTACGCCACTATGCCAAGATTTCACAAAAAAAAAATTGTATTGAAAATGAATTCGACTTATTGCCGTTTTCAGAAATGTTGACATTAGAATGTCGATCATTTCTATAAATCGAACACACCGAACACACACCGAACACAGCAATTAAAATTAAAAAAAAACAAATTTTCCTTTAAAAAAAGCAAAATTAAAACTTTAGTAATATATTTTTAGGTAGTGTGCATAAAAAAATGTATAAAAATTATATTATTTGCATATATGTATTCACTTGTATTTGCTTGTATTTGCCAATGTTCGGTGTGTTCGTTTGTGTTCGGTGTGTGTTCGGTACAAATTTTCATATTTTCAATTTTATTTATATCTAAAAAGTGACAAAAATAGTTTTTATATAAAGTTATGCATGAATACTTCAAGTTTGCATAATTTTTTGTATGTGTTCACGGTGTGTTCGGTGTGTTCGGTGTGTTCGGTATAAAATGGTCAAAATTTCAGATTGTCAACATTTCTGAAAACGGCAATAATGCAGAAGTAATGAGTAATGTGAAAATTCAATGTCCGTTTTGTCCATTTTCAATAAATGCCCATTCTTTTTTTTTGGATAAATAAGTATAAAAATATTAGTATACAATATAAATTAAATAAAAAATATGTCAAAAAAAAAATTAAAATTTTGATCAACGGAGATTGTAAGACCTACGCCCGTAGTAACACGCAGTCTTAACAAAAATGATGTTTTATTAATAATATAAAGTTTCTCAAATATAATGCTTGGTTTGATAATAATGTAATACTAAAATTATAAAAATAGAATTCAAAAAAAATCTTAATCAAATATTTCCCTTTTTTATACTAAAATAATTTTTGTAAAAATAGATTCCAAGTGTTTTGAATGTCCCTTTTTCTTATTTTATCAAAATGATTTTTGTCATAATAAATCCTAAGTCCAAAAATGTGTCCTACAGTAGGCGATCAAAAGTATACGGACATTTTTTAATCGACCATGTTCAAATATAAAATCATTGAATTATTCCTAAAATTGCGAATTCTAAATGAGAGCTGAATATCAAAAATAATTCAATGATTTTATATTTGAACATGGTCGACAATGCAAGGATTTGTTTAAAACTTTGTAAAATTCAAAACATTAGTCAATATACGTCAAAATTCAAATTACGGCTCAGGATTATCACAAAATACTATGAAAATGCAATAAAAATTTCAGAATAAAATCTTTGAAATGCAATATCTCGGCTTCTAGTGATTGGATTTATGCAATTTTAGGCTTGTTTAAAAGCTCTTAACTCAACATATCCAATGATATAAAAAAACCGCATTATTTGGATGGGTAAGTGGGAAGATATAACGTTTTTAAAGTTTGCCCCGCTGACCATTAATAAATTTCTTTCCATTTCTCGCGAATTGCGAATTAAACTTACAAAATTTATACATGTTTCACTATATATAATTCTTAAACAACAATGGTTTTCGTTCCATAGCTTAATTAAATCTGTGCGAAGCATGTTACACACAATTAGTCAGAATGAATTATAGTTTTATCAAAATTTACTTATATAGTTTAAATGGTGATTTAAACAAAATTAAGTGGATATAAAATTATTCAGTCTTGATAAATTGTAGATACACGCATTGTCATTAATAAAGTTTTATAATGTCTTATGCAATAATTGCTACAATTAATGGAATTTAATGCCCATTAGTAAAAGTTACGCCTAATTATCTAAACATTTACACACTATTAATCAGAATGAATTGTATGCAATATTGAATTTGGAATCATATATAATTTACCCAGCTCGACATAATAATAAATTTGATACCCTTCCCTTCAATTACAACATGTCGTGCTCAAAAATATTATTAGGAGATTTACCTGAATTAACATATGAAATTATAAAATATTTTCAGAATGATTATTCAAATTTACTTGATTATTCAACTTTACATTCATGCATTTTAGTTAACAGATTATGGTGTCGTATAGCAATTCCATTATTATGGGAAAATCCATTTTCAATTCCTAATCGTAACTATAATAAAATGATTGAAATTTACTTGTATAATTTAAATGATGATGTTAAAACAAAATTATATGAATATAAAATTATTAATAATTCATTATCATCAAGGAATATAATGTTTAACTATGTAAAGTTTTTAAAATATTTGAATATATGTAGGTATATGTTTTACGTTGAGAAGTGGTCTGATGATGCTACTAGTACAAAACATTTTGAACAAAATTTTATGAGATTAGTTCATATGTCACTATTTAAAATTTTTATTGAAAATGGGGTAAATTTACGTACTCTTGAAATTGAGATAGGTACTTTAGATATTCATTGTTATGATTATCAAAATATTCTTAAGTTAATTTTACAAAATCAAAATTTTATTCACAATATTGGAAATTTGCAACTTAATATCGTCGATAATATAGAAAATATGGTAACTAATAACCATGTATTGCAAATAATTCATTTACATCAAAATCTTAAGAAAATTAAAATATGTAATAATGATGAATCTTTATATCAACCATTATTATTATCAAAAGATCATAATTGTTCAAATACCTTAAATACAATCATTTTCCTTTATGTCGAATTCAAATTTATAAATTATCTTAATGAAGTATTTGAGCAATTAAATGTTTTAGAATCTGTTCATATTGTTAAATGTTCTTCCTTGAATAACTTTATTCAACAAATTATTAATTTAACCAAACCATTTAAATTAAAATCTTTAATTTTATATGAGGTCCCACAAATTGAAACATTGCAACAATTATTGCAAAAATCTGGTAATTATTTAGAAAATTTCGGCGGGTATGATATTTGTTTAAATGATGATATACTACCACAATTATTAAAATATTGTGATAATATCAATTTTCTTTATTTTCATGGATATGTAAAAAGTGAAATTTTTACTTATAAAGTGATCAATTTAATTGAAAATATTAACAAAGTCTCAATTATCTTTCAATGATCATATGGGAAGAATACCCTTTAACTGGTTCATTCATATTAAAAAATCTAGGACAAATTCTCCCTTCTAAGTTAGAATACCTAAGTTTGGTACTTAACGTTAAAGAAAGTGATTTTAGGGCATTCTTAGAAAATTCTCAAGGTGTTTTTGTTAATAAATTGTCAATAGAACTAAGAAGGGGTAGTGATGATTCTTTACATTACATAAAGGAATATATTATGAAGGAAAAAAGAGTCAAGTATTTGGCTATTAAGGATAATGAAAATAATAAAGAATTGTTTGATTTGAAAGAAGAATTGAGGGAATTCGAGTTACATAATATTAGAGTTCGAAGACATAGGGATTTATTTATTTCTGACTTAAGTGACTTTATATGGAGTTAAAGAATATTTGATTAATTATAGTAAATATAGATGAATAATCATAAATTACAACTGATTGATTAAAGTTGCTTTAAAACTTACTTTTCTAAAACAAATTATTTATTTATTATAGAGATTTTTTTGTGTCCATGACAAATATATAAATATTAAATCCATTTTCAGAAATGGGCTGATTTCAAATAGACTGGTTCTTCATTCAGGACCAGTCCAGAATCGTCTTTGATTATTATAAAAATTAAAGATGGATGAGTTTGTCCGTGATTATCTAAAATGTTTTTTCTGTTACCGTAGCTTGATTTTTGAATAATTATAATCTCACACGATTAAATAAAAATTAAAAATGTTGAATGATTAATTCTAATAAATTAAAATGTTTAAATAATTAAATTAGAATAAATAGAATAAATAATAAATTTATTTTATAACTAGCTGTAGTTTGTTGCGTTGCAACAGGATTAAATGAGTTTATTGAATAAATATGCTTTGTATGATCTTTTTTAGTTAGAATAAGTATATATTTTTTTTACTTAAAAATAAAAAACATGTTAATATTATATATAGGATCTAATTTATCTATATATAAAACAAAAAATTTTATTATTATATTGATTTAAAGAAATATTCTATTTTGATTATATCGCCGATCTAAACCTAAGAGGTAAAAAAACGAAAAAAATAAAAAATAGAAAAATAAAGTAAAAAATCACGCTTACCGTAAGACCATCTAATTGGTCCAATCATAGATCTAAGCCTAAGGATGAAATAAATAATAACGATAATATACTTCTACATATATAGTAAGTTAATAAAAAAAAATATGTTATTATAAGATAATATTTTACCTAATTATATTACTTCTCATACAAAAAATAAATAAGTCATTTGATTCATACATAATTTTATAAATGTTCTTTTGACTAAAGTTATCTCCTGAATTATTTTAATATTTATTTAAACAAAAAAGTCAAATTTGACCTACTATAACGTAATACAATTAATATTAAGACCAAATTATTAATCCTAAATGGTCATCAACCATTTTGTCTACCTTTCTAAAATATAAAAATCAAAAAAATTCTTTAATATTACATAACACAATTACCAATCTATTTAATAAAATTGGTCATCTATTAATTGCCAGTTTTGGATGTGAAGTTAAAAATATTTGGTAAGTGTAATTGTAACCCACTAACAGGTTTCCGTTCCATAGAACTGCGCCTAATTATTGAAACATGTTACACACAATTAATCAGAAATCATCACTCATATAAATTACCCAGTTCGGTATAATAATAAAAATTTGATACTTCCTCCCTTTTTCAATTACAATATGTCATGTTCAAAAATATTTTCAGAAGATTTACCTGAATTAACATATGAAGTTATAAAATATTTTCAGAATGATTATTCAACTTTATATTCATGCATTTTAATTAACAGATTATGGTGTCGTTTAGCGATTCCATTATTATGGGATAATCCATTTTCAATTTGTACCAAAAACAATAATTTTATTGAAATTTATTTACATAATAATTTAGATTTTATAACAAAATTAAATGAATACAAATTTTATATTAATAATTCATTATCTACGAATACACTGTTCAATTATCCTAGTTTTTTAAAATATTTGAATACCATATAATTTTATCACTTCTGTTGTTATATGGGTTAATTCTGTTATTAGACATTCAAAATTCGGAGTTAGAAATCTTTTTAAAGCTTTTGATTCGGTATCTAAGTTAATATTTAAAATTTTTATTGAAAATGAAATAAAATTACATACTCTTGAAATTGAGATCTCAGATATTTATTATAGTTATAGTGCATATCTTAACGAAATTCTTTAATTTTACAAAATCAAAATTTTATTCACTATATTGGAAATTTGAAGCTTTATATCAACAATTATGATGAAAATATGGATCATGTATTACAAATAACTCATTTACATCAAAATCTTAAGAAAATTTTAATATGTAATAATTATACATCTTTATATCAATCATTATTATTATCAAAAGATTATAATTGTTCAAATACCTTGAATACAATTACTTTCTATTACGTCGATTTTAGAGTAATAATCAATCTTGATAAAGTATTTGGACAATTAAATGTATTAGAATCTGTTCATATTATTAATTGTTCATCTTTGGAACAAATTATTAATTTATCCAAACCATTTAAATTGAAATCTTTAATTTTAAATAAGGTACTACAATTTGAATCATTGCAACAATTATTACTAAAATCTGGTGATTATTTGGAAAATTTCGGTTTGGGATTTGGTTATGGTCTATCATCAAGACAAGTATTGTTAGGATTAATTATAAAGTATTGTAAGAATATCAAATTTCTTGATTTATGTGAATTTGAAACCCAGATTACTTATAAAATATTGGATTTAATTGAAAATATTAAACAAAATCTTAATTATCTTTCAATCAATATACAGGAAGATAATCATTTAATAAATGGTAGTTCAATCATATTAAAATCTAGGACAAGCTCTCCCTTCTAAATTAGAATACCTAAGTTTGGTACTTAACGTTAAAGAAAGTGATTTTAAGGCATTCTTAGAAAATTCTCAAGATGTTTTTATTAATAAATTATTAATAAAACTACAAAGAGGTAGTGATGATATTTCACATTATATAAAGGAATATATTATGAAGGGAGAAAGAGTTAAATATTTGGCTATTAAGGGTTGTGGGTTTTTGTGTGGGCGGTGGGTGGTGTGTATGTTTGTTACTTCCTTGCTCTTTCCTCTTCCCTTCTCTCGCTTTTCTTTCTCTTTCAGTTTTCCCGCCTTTCCCTTTTAATTTCCCTTTCCCGTTCGTTTTCCCTTTCCCACTCGCCTTCTCGTTTTTCCCTTTTCCTCTCGTTTTCCCTTTCCCTTTCGTTTTCCCTTTCCCTTTCGTTTTCCCTTTGCTTCTCGTTTTCCCTTTGCCTCCTTTCGCCTTCCTTTCCTCCCCGATCAATGTTGCTGCATTTTAACATGGTGATCAGGTGTCACAAGTTTTTTAAAAGACTTGGCAAGTCAGCAACAAATTGTAATTACATATTATAAGTCATAAATCGATTTGTTCATTTAAATTAATTGATTTCATATAAACATGACTAAATAAATAATTTGATATATATATATATACACACACATATATATATATATTTTTAAAAAAAAAAACTATATTGCATCTTTATTAGAAATAAAATTCAATAAGAACGACATTCTCTCTAAAAGATACCTTGAGTGAGCCCGTGCTTTCACGTGACACCCTCTTCTACAGAGTTTTCGTAATCTAAATAATAAAATATACAAAACGAAACAAAAATATAAAAAAAAAACCTACACTTTCCTAAAGACCTAGATAAATTTTAAACTAAATAAAAGAAAAACCTACATCTAAGACTTTTGTATGTAAAGAAGATCGGATTTGACTACATTAATCTAATTAAATCTAGTGCTAAAATCTAATCTAGATCTCTACTAATATCCTAGACAGTTATTAAGATAAAAAAATAAATTTAAAAACATTACGATCGAACATATAAATTTTATTTCTACTTTGATATCGGAATAATTTTTTACGTGAAATCACGTGACTTCGATTAATAAATATTAGATGTTCGTTCAAACGTTTCCTTTCTCACTTCACTTTTTCTTTTTCTTCTCTTTCCTGTCATTATTATTCGTAGGCTTGCTCGGTGAGACTAATCCTTTCTCTTGCGCTTTTTTTATCCAATCTTGCCATTTATCTTGGTCATTTTCTAATTCTTCTGCACTCCAGCTCCTGGATGTTGATGATTCGAAATTCGGCTTTTTGTCTCCAACTTCTTTCTTATCCTGATAGCGGTTTTCATTCTTCAATCTTTGTTTAAAATCATTATTCAGCGTAGTATATTCCATCATAATTTGGTTTTGTTCCGCCAAACCGATAATTTTTGTCCTAAACGAAAAAATTATTTTCTTTCCTGAGTAAATAACGCAACGGACTTTAACGGTTACAATTTTCTTAGTATATACTAATATTGAAAGAATTGCAATATGATATCTAATCATTACAGTATATTCATGTCTTTTACTTAGCAATAAAAACTTGTGAATAAATGGTGCGGATTTAATGAAAGAATCCTGCCAAGCAATGTTACACAACATTCAAAAGATGATTGATGAATCAACTGAAGGAATTGATCTTTTTATAGAAACAATATCTATTGTTGATAAATGTTGTTTTAGGTGCACAATAAACATTTGGATCTATTTAACGTTTTAAACAATGATTTTTTTTTGGAAGCAAGTACAGGCGTACAACCATATCAAGAAATATCAAGACTAGGCTGTGTCAATGCGATTAATTGTAAGTCACGTGATACTCGTATGCAATAAAAAGTCTAACCTTTTTTAAATACAGACAAGGTAAATTAAGCATATGATAGTATATCACAAATTTTATTTTACTAATTAATTGAAATTTAAAATTTGTACAGTATAAAAAAAATAAAGTTACATTTATCAATACATATAGGAATATAAAGTAAATGAAAATACACTTGCTCAGTATGTTAACATGATAATTATATCAATATAATGAATTGAATTTTTTATTTTTTATGTAGTGTTTATCATCGATAAATACACTTATGATAGATAACCTTTTGTTATGTAAAAGTACGCTGAAAAAGACATTTCTTGGTGAGAAAATACAGAAATGTATACTAATATAATTTGGAGAACTGACATTAGAACCAATTATTGCAGTGGATCAATATACAAGTTCATATGTAAATGATGTAATATAAGTTTTAATTTTGGGAAAGAAAATGTTATTGTTTCGACGCTCTTAAAGGCTATTTTTAAAGATTTTCATTAAAGCAATCCAAAATATCATTAGAAATATTTATAAATGAATCATTCTTTTTAATGTTAAATTTGTATTTGCATTATTAAAATATAATGAATAAGTAAAAAACTAATAATAATTTTTTCTTGCATTGGTCGTACTCAAAGTAATGTTTCCATGATAAAAGCTTAAATGATCAAAATGTTATATCCTTTTATCAAAATAAAACAATTTATATAGTTTTAACAGGTTTAATATCATTCGATTATCGTAATTTTTGAAAGTTTTATAGTTAGATTTACATTACACAGATTTCTAAAACAGTGTTCGGAAATGACCTGGTCATTTGACTATTTAAATGATTTATGAAATCATTTGTCATTATTCATAATCATTTGTCATTTGGTCTTTTCAATTATTTGATTTTGATTGGCTAATATTTATCACTTAAATAATCATGTGACTATAATTAAAAAATAATTAGGCAAAAATCATAATGCTGGCCAACATTACATTCAAATGACCAAGGTCATTTGTCATTTGAGCATTGAAATGACATGTCATTTGTCATCATTTGATCATTTCAAGTCATTTGCCGAACACTGTTCTAAAATGGGATAGTTTGTTTAACTGCTGGAGAATGACGATATATATTATAAATTTGTAAACGTCCTTCCACAAAAATCACCACTATTTCCTTTTGAGTAATCTCCACATCACGTTATTTTCTTTTTGAACCTCTGAAAAATATCTTTGCGGATAATAATTTAACTGCTATTAGTTCTTTTATCTCTTATTGTATTAATTGTAAAAGAAAATATTGATGTGACAAAGCTAACAAGTTATAATTTATTTTTTCTATGATCACTGGATTATGATAAATTGATGCAATTTATAATATTTGCATTTATAATGCTGACCAAATTTACAAAAACGGACATTAATGTCCGTTTTTATAATTCCGGCCAAATTTTGCTGGGCGAAATTATCTTAATTCCGGCCAAATTAATGTGTAACCTTAAAAAAATTTTTGCCTTTTTTATAGTTACAAGGTGGTACAAAATGTACATTAATGCAATCCTTGACTATGAGTTTATAAGTAAATATCCGGTCAAAAGTTATAAAATTGCCTTATTTGTAATTAAATGTTGGTAAGTTGTTTGGACCAATCAGATCTCGTGGGCTAATCTGGCCCATGGGCAGTTTATAAGCTAGGATGTAGTGCACGCCCACTTAGCTTAGAAACTATGCCGATCATTTGGCTGGGGTGAAAATTTGAGATGAACTCCGAGAAATATATAAATAGGTAACACAGAGCAGAATTACGTAATTCGGCTGGAATTATCCAAAAAAGGAAGGATCTACACATTCTCTAATTCTTTTTGGCCCCAATATTCGCATTGATATGTTTGGTCATTTTGCGAAAAAAAATTTGAACCATGTAATATATATAATCACCAATTTAAGTTCGTTTAACTTTACTTTTGGCTAATAATCATAAAAAAACAGTGTCATATGACGATGAGACAATATCATGTGTCATTTTTTTTTTTACTCTGAAATTTTCGATATTTACTGTCTGTCCAACATGATGTTAAACATACTTTCGAATTGGCGAGGATTTATTATAAAATTAATAAAAGTTTCTGATTTCCTGTATTATTTTTTGAGTCATGTGACAAAATTCTGGATATCGTGTCATCATGTTTTTAAATAAGCATGGCATTAATAAATTATAAAATCCTTTAAAAAAATTTACAAAATAAAAATCCGAAGTAATTAAGATGATTAAGTATTACTATTAATATTCGTATTTAATACTTATTAAAGTTATGGCGTAATTAGGTATTAAATAAATGGGTTATTATCCGAAGGATGATAACCCATCAACCCATTTGTTTATTACTAAGCTTTTTTATCATCCTGGACACGGGCATCTGATCATCATATAAAATAGACTATTTTAGACTTTTGTGTATTTGTGTATTTGTCAGCTTGACGAAACTTTTTTTTTCTTCGTGACTCTTGATTTAGAAGGAATGAAAGTTCATATCACTAATTGTAATGTAACTATAAATATTAGTAAAACTGAACGTGAATGTATTAAAATATATTATAATAATAGCAAACCAATAAAAATCAATAAATTGTAACTATTCAATTAAACTATAACTACTATAGCTTATCATACTGGTTACATAGTTTATAAACGGCAAAAAAAAATAATAGATGCCCATTAGTGGTCAGGTGATAAATTTTATTATAACACGAATAAACTAAAAATGGAAAGTTATAATAAAGTATCTATTTTTGAGTAAAATAGAAAAGTTTAGGACTTTGCAAGTAAATTCAATTAATAATAACCAATTTAAAATCTCCTTTCGACCATATAAGGTAATAGCAAGTTTATTAAGTTTATTGTTCAAGTATTCATGTTCTTTAGTAGTAATAAATTGAAGGATTAAAAATTTATGCAAATTTTTCTTAAAATTTTATTATATTATGATAAAATGTTATTATATTAAAATTAATTGTTATTATTGTATTAATATATGACAAATTATATTAACATGTATTTTGTACATAGCTGATACGTTCTTCCAGGATCGGCGTGATCCTAAGGAGCTGCATAATAATCTGAGTTAAGAAAATTTGTGCAAATATTCTCAATTAATTTTAACATATTTTGATAGTCATTGTATTAAAAAATAATAAATGGACTGTACAAAAATAAAAAAAATTATTTACGCAAATAATTAATTATAATGAGATTACATCTCAATACCAAATAAAGCTTTCTCCACGTATGCGATTTTATTATTTTAGTAGACGACAAAATTTGATAAACCTCCTATAATATTTATAATATTCTAAATATGTAAGAAGTTCCTTAACGTCCTCATGTGTCTTATTTCCTATTACACTTACTAAATTAAAAAGTTTAAAATATTTCAATACAATTTCAATACATGCTCGGGAACTTTTGTACATAAAAGAATCATTTACCTCTTCTTCAGAATCATCAGCTATTTTTGGATCACCTGCGTTATCAATAATCGATCCATTGTTTGAAACCAGTTGAAGCCACTCAATAAAAATGCCTGACGTTATCCAGTTGGCACAGTAAGTTATAGGAAGTGCTGATTTGTTTAACATTTTAAGACAACGTGGATTTTTAATGTTTTTTTTAGAGGAAGTTATCATTTTAATATAAATAAAGTTTTTTTATTGTTTTTTTTTTTTTGGTTTTTTAACGAAATTTATATTTTTTAACTTTCATTTATTTATTAAAAAAATATGATGTTGTACTCTTTTAAAAAAAAGAATGTCGATATATTTTTTTTTAAAAAAAGTGACAAAATATACTTTTTTAAAAAAAAAATAAAAAATGATGAAAATACTTTTATTAAAATAAGAAAAAAAAACGATTTTTTCTAAAAAAAAAAAGGTTACGAAGCAAATTATTTATTTTTGAAAAAAATGTAAATAACTTAATTTTTTTCGTCCAGAAACTTTACCCATATTAAAAGTTTGATTTGGCACCATTAAGAAAAATAATTTTGTTTCATCCGTTTTATAAATATCTTCTCCATCATAACTTTGATAAAAGCCTCTGCAATCACGAACATTCTCCAGGTAAAAAAGTTTGCTTTGTTAAGTTCATTTCTTTGCTTATTTATATACCGCGCATTTTATTTCATTTTCAATTTTCAATGATTTCGCAAATTTTATATATACCCTTTTCTTGCAACATTATATCACTTAAAGAAATGTCAGCAGCTACAGCCTGTATGAGACGTTTGAGCATTGGTATAGAAGACTTGTAAGCCATTTACTTCAGCCAGGGTATCAGCCTATTTTATATTTGGATTAGTTTCTACATATTTATTTACAATTTTCTTTTTTTTGCATCAAAGCTAATTGGCATTTAATAAAGAAATAGAAAAAAGATAGGTAACTTATAGGAAACCAAAATACATTTATTTATTAACAGTTAAGGTACTACATTAATTTCGTTGTTTTAATAAATTTAGATGTAATTCGTGATTTTACTATTCATATAAATTGATATGATCAAACTTTATCAAACCAAAACTTGATTAATCGACTATCGTTCTTGTGACTAATACCGATATTCAGAAAAATCCAGTTACATGTTTTTATTTCGAGTCCTGGTTGATTTAGTTTCGGACTCGAATTTAACTTGATTTCAGTAATATTTTACTAGTAAAATAATATATAGAGAGAAAATATTCTACAATATGCATAGGTTATTTCTTTTTATATCCCCAATTTTGTTATTGTACTTCATGGCCAGAATTAAGGAAAATTTGACCAAGAGTTATCACGTGTCATTGCATAATGTTGGCCGGAGGGGTACAAATAACAAAAATGGGGATACGAATAACTATCGCCATTAATTATATTGCTACATCATGGTATTCGGATTTGTTAGTTTAAAATTGAAATTCTTTTACAAGTGAGGATGTGAATAATATAAATGATAAGGATTCTACAGAAGATATAGAAGAATCTAATTTTGAAGGATTGGAATATATCTTTAACAATTTACCAGAAGCAAATAAGGTACAAGAATATTTACTACAACTTTGATTTTTCAATTCCAACAGAAGATCATTTATCTGAAGAGTGTACAATAGTGTGTCAATCTGTTAATTAATCGGATAAACGGATATTAAATTTATCCAAATACTGTATCTGCGTTATCAGACTAATTAAATCATCTTCATATTAGATAACCAACCCGCAGTATAGTCTGTGTGCCACAGACCATAATTATCCAATTATCCGATTATTCAATAAGTAAACGGATATTTTGGTATGTAACACCTAGTTTTTGTTAATACCAGATTATACTGCGGAATAGTCATCTAATTTAAACTTAGTTTGAAAATGTAGATTTTTGGATAAATCCAATATCCGTTTATCCGATAACTTAACGGATTAACAATTGTACAATTTTAAAGAAATGGAAGTTGAATATGAAGATACTGTACATCTGATGAAAAGATTAAATAATAATTCCAAGTTTAGTACCAAAGAGTCGTATATCTTTACTGAGCTTTTTTTAATGATTTTTTGATGGTTACGTTGGCCCGATAACGTCAATCATTAGTAATAACATGGAAGAAATTAGAAATTTTGTGGCGCAGTGCCAATCAAGAATTTAGAATTACGAATTACGTGAGAGTTTGTCAGTACAAAAAAATTGTTTAGCCGACCATTTTTGTAAAATGCTAAAATTTTATTTATTTATTTTTATTATCAAAGTGAACGGGTAAACAGGGATCAGTACAGAATACATGGATACTTGATACAAGAATTGTAAAGTAGTACAAAAACAAACTGATAAACCAACCAGCTGACTAAGTTACAGGTTTACCAAGATGGAAAAATATATAATTAATGAAGTATTTCGTTTTACCAAATATATATATATATACAGTATATATAAACCCTTCAGAAATCTAAAAACATGCATTGCTAAAGGTGAAATTATCCTTAAAAAAAGGGATAACTGCTAACTAGTAAAAACAAGAGAGAAAATAATAACGTTAAGCGTTATTGATGGAAACTAATTTTGATTTCTATTTGTCATCTGAAGCAGATGGATAACTCTTTGTTAACCGGTCTTTCAGTTTTATCACATGCAATTTTATTATTTTTATAAAGTCTGTGTTTTAGTAGATTGAATAGCTCTTAGTTTACTGTAATTTCTAAATTTCTCTGTATAAAGAAATCATTTATAGTTAGATTTTACATTATACAAATTTCCAAAATGGGACATAATATAAAGTTCTATTTACGGAATTTATGGAATACTGATCGCATTCCATTCACGTTTCTGTCCGGAGCAAAGGCTGCAAAGTAAACTATCTTTGGTTACGAAATTATAAATTTTATTTTCAACTGCAAAACATGAATATTTTACAGTTTTATTTTTTTTTACAATTAATACATAAAAGGATAAAAGTTTGATAATTGTTGATCACATGCGTACTGCGGCCCTACAGTTACGACAGGCTTTTAACGATTACCTTATTCTAGTTAATAATTGTCAATAAATGTTTATCATAAAAAGTCTATAAATTAAAATATTAATTTCACAAATTCTTTTTTCTTTAATAATAAATATTTTTCCGATTTATTATAGTATTTTTGTTAACATTTCCTGAGTAGACATTTAAGTTTATTATTAGAATAAATTATTGAAGTTACAAAACCAACTATTATTACGCCACATCTATTACATAATAAAACATATAAATATATAGTACGTGGAGAGCAATATCACTTATTTTAAATTTTTCCACGTCAGTCACCCATTAATTTATGTAAGTGATATTGTAATATTATTGTCGTAAGACCTGGCCTTTTTTTTATCAATAGTCTATATAAAAGTTTTATTTTAATATTTTTTTTTAAATTTAAATGAAGATTCTATTAAAAGTTTTTACAAGGAAATACTTTTAGTAATTGTAATATTATAACAATAATAAATATAAGTAACCGTACCGTACAATAATATTAATAATATTGTCATCATTTTAGTTAGAACCTTTTAGTTTATATTCAATCCAATTTATATTATTAGGGCAATATTTTAGTTCAAAACCTAGAAGATGAAGGCAAAATTATTTATTTTTCATTTAAATAATAAAAGAAATCCAACTAACAACAATTAACAACAATTATTATATCACTTATCTTAAATAGATCTTTGTGTTGGTTGAGAATGAAAGTAATTATCAAGATAAAGAGTTATTTATTTTTGATGATATAACAATAGCTTGAACTTAAAAAACTTTGTTATTAAAAATACATTTAATAATTAATATCTTAAAGTATTAATTATTGTATCAAGATGAAGATAAAAAGAGTTAATATTTAAATTTAAGCTTTATTTTTTTTTCATTATTCTACCGTCATAAAATGTTATTATAAGCTGATTTATTTATTTATAATAAACTTACATTAGTACTTTATAGTAGTACTTATACAGTGTCAAATAAAACTATGTATTTCATTACAAATAAATATTCTATAAAATGTTTAAAAATATCAAATTGAGCAAAATAATAAAATTTGTAAAATTAATCATTTAACGATGTTGCTTGTTTTGTATTATCAGTAATTGCACAATCTAAACATTCAGAATGATTATTGAGGCTTTTAGTAAAAGGATTAAGTAATCGAGATGTATAAACAGCTTGAGGATGGGTAGTTATTTGTTTATCTTCATTTAAAGAAGAGAGTTGTGAATCTCTATAATTTTCCGCTTCTTCAATTTCAGATTTTTTGAAAGTAACTGACCAAATTGATTCACTAAATTCAGTTATATTGGGTCTATTTTCTGGTGTTGAATCCCAACACTTTTTCATTAAATCAATATAACTTTTTGGTGCCTTAGGGACGTTTATTTCAGGTCTAATTCCATCACAAATACCTAATGCTAAAAGATGATCATGTGCACAATCGTCAAAAGGTTGTCTTCCAGTTGCTACAAAATACATAACCATACCTAAACTATAAATATCTGCTGCTTGAGTATAAGGATTTCCTCTTAATACTTCAGGAGCTATATAAGGCATAACTCCATAAATATTATTTTGATTGATATCACCAACTTTTCTACATAATCCCATATCTAAAATATATGTTTTGTTGACATACGTTTCAATGTAAGGAGCATTAAACAATATATTTCCTATATGAAAATCATGATGAACCATCTGTTTTTCATGAATTTCTTTAAGACTATTTGCAATATAATATAATGTTTGAACTCTATTTTTCCAATCAAAACATTTATAATTTTCATTTATATTTAACCAATTATTAAAATTTCCACCTTCTGCATATTGAAGAACAATAATATAATTTTTTGTATTTGGATCTTGAGATATTCCATATACTTTTAGAATTTTACTATTATTGTAATAAACTTCTTTAGTTGAATATGCCTTTATCTATTAAAAATTTATAATATAAATATAAGTATATTGAAAAATAATTGAAAAATTTGCAAGAATTTCATACCTCATTCAATAATTCATTAGTGAGATTTTGTGAGTTGTCCAAACATTTTAGAGCAACTTTTTTATTTGATTCTCTACTATATTTTTCATCTTGGCCTTTTAAATATAATAATGGTCCATCCTTCCATATTGCTGAGTATACTGTAGCAAAGCCACCTTTGTCTATTTCTTTAATTTCATAAAATTGATTATATGGTATCCATTCAAATACTATATCATGATATTCTTTAATAGTTGATTGCATTTCTTGGATAGAATCATCAATTTTTTCATTTCCACTAGCCCAAATCAAAGTATTTTGAATTATAACATAATCATTTGTAATTGGATTCTGAGATATTCCGTATATTTTAAGGGGCAATTGTTTTGTTAATTGTTCTTTAACCTAATATAAGTAAATGAAATAAGTAAGTCATAATAAAAATAAAATTAAAAAATATATAAACGTCATACCTCATTTATTAGAGATACAATAGAATTCTGTGAATAATGTAAGCATTTTATAAAAACTTCTTTATTTGGATTTCTTTTAGAATTCTTATAAATATATGGTCCATTTTTCCATATTGCTGAATAATAAACTGTCATAAAACTATTTTTTCTTGCCTCTTTAATTTCATAGAACTGATTGTATGGTATCCATTCAAATACTATATCAGAATTATTAGTTTTCAATTGCATTTCTTGAATAAAATCATCAATTTTTTCATTTCCACTTATCCAATTAAAAACTAAAATGTAATCATTCGTAATTGGATTTTGAGATATTCCATATATTTTAAAAGAATCATAATCTGATTTTTTTGGTAAAAGTATTTTAACCTAATATACAGTATTAATAAAAGAAGTATTACTAAATAAATTATAATAAAAAATTGAAATATATATAAACATTATACCTTATTTACAAGTGATTCAACAGAATTCTGTGAGTCATGCAAGCATTTTAAAGTAACTTTTTCATTTGAATCTTTTCTATAATAGCCATTATCATAACATAATGGACCATCTTTCCATATTGCTGAATAAATTGTTGTACCATCATCACTTTTGCTTATTTCCTTAATTTCATAAAACAGGTTATATGGTATCCATTCAAATACTATATTAGAATTATTTGTTTTCAATTGCATTTCTTGGATAAAATCATTAATTTTTCCATTTCCACTTGCCCAGATGAAGATATTTTGAACTATGATATAATCATTTGTATCAGGATTTTGAGATATTCCATATACTTTAATAAACTTACAATCTAATTCATCTATTGAAAGTTTTTTAACCTAAATTATAATTTTAAAAGAAATTAATAAGCTATGATAAAAAAAAAATGTATATAAATATCATACCTCATTCATTAGAGATTCAATAGGATTCTGTGAGTTATGTAAGTATTTCAAAGTAACTTCTTCATTTGAATCTTTTCTATAATAGCCATTATCATAACATAATGGACCATTTTTCCATATTGCTGAATAAATTGTTGCATGATCATCATTTTTGCCTATTTCCTTAACTTCATAAAACAGATTATATGGTATCCATTCAAATACTATATCAGAATTATTTGTTTTCAATTGCATTTCTTGGATAAAATCATCAATTTTCCCATTTCCACTCGCCCAGATAAAAATATCCTGAACTATAATATAATCATTTGTAGCTGGATTCTGAGATATTCCGTATATTTTAAAGAACTCACAATCCAATTTTTTTGTTAAATATTCTTTAACCTAAAACATTAATAAAAGAATTAAATAAACCATAAAAAAAAATTAAATACATATAAATATCATACCTCATTCATTAGGGATTCAATGGAATTCTGTGAGTTATGCAAGCATTTTAAAGTAACTTTTTTATTTGAATCTCTTTTATATTCTCCATACCGAAATCGTAGTGGACCATCTTTCCATATTGCTGAATAAATTGTTGTATGATCATTTTTGCCTATTTCCTTAACTTCATAAAACAAGCTATATGGCATCCATTCAAATTCTACATTATTATGGCAACCTTTTATTTTCAATTGCATTTCTTGAATAAAATCATCAATTTTTTCATTTCCACTTGCCCAGATAAAGATGTTTTGAACTATAATATAATCATTTGTATATGGATTTTGAGATATTCCAAAATACTTACAATCCAATTTTTTTATTAAATGTTCATTAACCTAAAACATTAATGGAAGTAATAAATAAGCTATAAAAAAAAAAATTAAAATGTATATAGATATCATACCTCAATCATTAGAGATTCAATAGAATTCTGTGAATCATGCAGGTTTTTTAAAGCGACTTTTCTATTTGGTCTTCTTTTATAATCCTTATAAATATGATTATAATATAATGGACCATTTTTCCATATTGCTGAATAAACTGTCATAGAACTATTTTTGCTTGCCTCTCTAATTTCATAGAGTTGATTGTATGGTATCCATTCAAATATTATATCACTTAATTGTATTTCTTGAATAAAATCATCAATTTTTTTATTTCCACTTGTCCAACTAAAAACTAAAATATAATCATTTGTACATGGGTATTGAGATATTCCATATATTTTAAAAGATTCACAATATAATTTATTTGTTAAAAGTATTTCAACCTATAATATTAATAAAAGAAATAAATAAGTTATAATAAAAAATTAAAATACATATATAAATGTCATACCTCATTTATTAGAGATTCGATAGAATTCTGTGATTTATGCAGGCATTTTAAAGCAACTTCTTTATTTGAATCTTTTCTATAATAGCAAAAATCATAACATAATGGACCATCTTTCCATATTGCCGAATATACTGTCATAGAATCATCACTTTTGCCTGTATCTTTGATATTATTAAACTGACTATATGGTATCCATTCAAAGATCACATTATAATTTTCTTTAATTTCTTTAATTTTTACTTGCATTTCACGAATGAAATCATCAATTTTTTTATTACCGCTCATCCAGTTTATGAGACATATGGAATTATTTTGAACTAAAATATAATCATTTGTATCCGGATTTTGAGAAATACCGTATATTTTAAGTCGATCCTTATGCTTATTTGTATGACTTGTCAAACACTTTGTAGACTAAGAAAAAAAAATGAAAAAGTTAATGTATTATAAATAAATATTAATAATTTTTGAAAAATTTATACCTCATTTATTAGGAATTCAATAGGATATTGTGATTTACATAAGCAATTTAAAGTAACTTTTTTATTTGAGTTTCTAGTATATTTTTTACTCCACCAATTTTTAAATAATGGACCATCCTTCCATATTGCCGAATATATTGTCACAGAATCACTTTTGCTTGTTTCTTTAATTTTATCAAATTGATTATATGGTATCCATTCTAGTACTATATCATGATGGTCCTTTACTTTCAATTGCATTTCTTGAATAAAATTATCAATTAGTTCATTTTCGCTGGAACAGTTTGTAAAATTTTTTATTGAATATTTTAAATGATCTTTATTATCTTCACTATTTTCACTATTTTGAAAAGACATTTTTATTCAAACAGTTTAAAAAGCTTTGTATAAAATTTCATTTAATTTATAAATATTTTATGCAGGGGCGCATCACGAGTACATCATTTCTTTAATTAGAAATATGTAGATCTTTCTTATTAAGTAATGCCAGCCAGAATTTTATTACTATCCTATATTAGAATTATCCAAATTTGAGATGATCTGCATTTTAAATGCAAACGTAATGCAAAATCTTTCTGTATAATAAAAGTCCAAATTTTTGTAAAAAAAAAAAAAAAAAACTGTACATGTAACTTATATAATTTCATACTAAAGATATCCGACACTCGTGCTAAATGTTTAACTTGGAATTAGTTTATTTAATAGCTATTGTATTTCCATGATTTTTTTGTATTACTTTTTGCATCACATGAGAGTTCACAAGCTTTTTGAACAATTTAGAATTATTTCTAGATATAATGTCATCATTTTTTAATTACAATTATATTTAATGAGGTTACGTACTGTACGTACTGTATCTGTATGTCTTAGAGTTGAATAAAAGCCAGATGTCAAATTTGGATGAACCTTACGTCCTTACGTACTATCTATAAAATTCTGAAGTTATTTAACAAGGGATTTGCTGTTGTCGATCAATGATACTTCTTTATTTACCGCTATTAGCTTAGGAATTGCGAATCTTTCAACTATTACAATATATAATTGAGATTGCAAACATTATAAAGATTTGTTATTGAACGAAATTGTTTTTTTATTTGGATTTAAAAATTAAAAAATATTATGTAATTAATCCAAACTTGGATATATTATATCAATGTGGCCTGACCTAACCTACCATAGCTTCATTGTTAAACTTAAAGGCTGAAAGTGAAAAGAATCATCGTGAAACTAAAGAAAAATCATGTACAATTTTTTTCGGTTTGTAAATCTTTTAATAGTTGACCTTAAGAATAATAATATTATTGTCACATTATAAATCTTACCTTATATTAACATTCATTAATGTTTTGGTTTCTTCCATTGTATCATAATTCCTTAATTTGTTGGCTGATGGATTATTTTTATTCATTACTTTCCTTATCTTTTTTATAATAGCACCAAATTTCATTATAAAGTAAATTGAGATCGAGATTTCAAAAGAATGTTTATTGTTTAAGGGCGTTCTCAAACACTTTAATTGATAGGATCTGATTGGTCAAAAAAATATCCGAAAGTTTTGGAGAATTTCTTATTTTGATGAACAAGCGAGCTAATAATCACCTTTTCCCCTCAATCCTAAATAAATTGAAATGATGATTGAGCGTTTCCTATAAATTGAAGTTTTCAGCAAGATTTTTTCAATATAAGAAAAATTCTTATTTTTACATTTAATAACAAGAAATTTTTATATTTTACTCAAGTTATCATTATAATAAAAAATCAAAAAATAAATATCATAAAAAATCAAAAATCATTGCTTAATGTCAATTATAAAAAAGGTATATCTCGTTATTGATTGTAATACTTGAGCAAATGTTTAAGAATGACCTAAATCGTATAATTTTAAAATATGCAAAACGAACTTGAAATACACACAAAGTGAAAGAAAAACAAGTAAATGAAAATTTTTTTTATGCAATTTATGGATTTATAAAATTGTATAATTAAATTTTTTTTTAATTATTTTATTCCTTTTAATGAAATTCTTAATAATTGGAAATTTCAAAGAAAAAAAAATTTCGTGTAATCATAACAGTCACTGGTCACATGCAGATCATTACACCGCTAAATGATTTGTTGGCTGCCGATCGTATTAAGTATTTAAGTTTATTATATAATCAGCAAATAATCTTAAAAGGAAATCACTCGAAAACTAATCTTTATGTTAACGTTAAAAGTTCACGTTAACGTTAACGCGCCACCCACCTTATACTTATATAGAATATCTTCTTTTGCTAAAAAATTATGAGATAATAATTTCGGAAAATCATATGAAAATTAAATAATAATAAAAGAATTATTTTTCGTCAGAAATAATTAAACCAAAAATGATCAACGATCATGTTACGAAGTCGCAGTAATTAGTAAGTCATTTTGTATGTAATTACTAATCAGATAGTTTTTTTATTGCATTATAACAGATTATGTTGTTAGTGTATTTTTTTTTTAAATATATATATATTGTTTAAGTTAGAATTTTTTTATTTATTTGATTGATTTTGGAATTCATTATATTATTATTATTATATCAAAAATTTTGACCAATTCAATCTGTAATACAAAAAAAATACATAATAAACATCATAATAATATTTTTAATATATGTTTATATATGGTGACTTTCATGGATAAAATTTGATGATTCATCAAAAAAATCTTATATAAAAATATAAAAATTCATGAAAAACTTCAAATTTTACTTAAAATAACGATTCTCTTATAATATGCTGTTAAAAATCCACCATTTATGTCTTAAATTTAATGATTCACATATTAAAAATTCTTTTTTCGTAGGGTTAGATAGATAAATTTACTTAGCCAAAATTTCTGGTCTATATTTAGAAAAATTATTATTACACATAAATATTAATTTAAGGTGGATTTTTAATGTGAGTGTAAAATAAAAATTGATTAAAATTTTACTATATATATATTTTTCTTTGATAAATGTATTTCTTTATTAGTAAATGTAAAAGAAAATCATACATCTTAAATACAAAAATACATTGAAATACAAATGTTACCCCAACATCTCTTCATATCAAAATTCTCCGTATGTCCGTATGATAAAACGAAGTATGCACTGACCACAACCTAAAATTAAAATGTATTCATGTATTTACTAAACTACTTAAAAAACTAAACTATCCTATTTATGCTGTCGATGTTATTTCTATCATTATATTTTTGCATTATATTTAATTTTCCTATGTTTTTTTGATTTTCTATACTTTTTACCCAAAATCCTTATTACACGCACTACTATTATTGTTAACAAAAAATAATTACAATGTAGCATAATGCAAAACTAGTTGTAACGAAAAATCCTATTCTACGTTGCTACCTGACTCATCCGTTCTGTTATCTTTCTTTCACCCTGTACTAACGCGACACGCTTTTGGCTGTTTTTGATTGCTGTTGTTTCTAATTCGTTCTTTGTCTTCGTTTGCCTTGTAACACGTCCGTTTTGTCTTGAATTGCCCTATCACTAAATTTAACATTTAATTCATTGAACTCACTGACTGCTTCTTTGAAGGCACCTTCATACCCAATAAACTAGGTGATGATTCTTCTATTTGTTCTTCATCTTTCGACAGTTCATTGTTATGGTTTGGTGTCTGCCCAGCCACTTGAGTCATCCGGTACCCACACTTTCTGCTATCGCCGATAAGTTCGTCCTGCATCTTTAACTGGAGACTTTCCTTCATGTTGAATCATAAATTCCTTTCATCAGGCCATTTTCGTTGTTAAAATATATTAAAATGTATTTAATTTTGTTGACTCTCATTATTTTCCTGAAAAAACCGCCATATTTGTAAACATGCTCCTTGATTACGCCATCTTATTCTTTTCTGTCACTATCTATCCGTCTGCTCGCTTGCCAACTAAATTTTTCTATACGTTAATCTTGAATCAAACATCCTAAAAAAGAATTTGTGCCCATTTCTCGTAATCGATACATTAATACCGCCCCGTTTGTATATTTCTTAATATTCTTTTGTAAAACGCAATGATGCTTTTAACCATCTTGAATTTATAACACCGTTTGATTCTCAGCCGTTCAATATATCCCACATTACTTTTTAATTGTTCATGTATTTATTAATTATTTATTTATTTTATGTGAAGTTAGGATAGACAATCGATCAGGATATATTCCCTCGAAAGGGGGTTAATCCTACCTCTTGATATCATCCATTACAAAACAGACCTGAACTTCTATATAAATGGTAACCAGTTTTAATTGTTCATGTATTTTCGTATCTTTCAAATACGGGATAGTCGTAGTGCTCCGAATAATCCGAGTTAACCCGGGTTATTTTGACCCGACTCGACTTTTAAATCGGGTCGATACTTGTAATTTTGAGTGACTCGTGACCCGCATGACCCGCATGACCCGACCCGACGGGTCGGGTCATATATTTCCTTGACCCGGGTTTTAACCCGAATAATCATTTGATTATCCAAATCTTTTTTTTTCGCACCTTTATTAAGTTAAAACGAAACAATTAGAGCATGTGCTTGAAATTCTGGCAGAAATAAAGGTATTATTGAGTTTCTATTGATGTATTTAATAAAATTTTGAATTTTAATTCTAATCTTAATTAAATAGTTAATTATACATATGTAATGTAAATTCTTTTAAGTTTAAAATTAAATGTAATTGAATAATATATAACTTTAAATACGATAGATAAAAGTTGTGCAACCTACATGATGATCATTGTCATTATCTTGTAGGTCAATTTTTCTTATTATTGGTTAACCAAAAATTCGAGTTTGAACCCGGGTTATACGGGTTAAACTACACTCGGGTCAAGTCGATTTCGGGTTATAAAATTGTGTGACCTGAACATATACGAGTCCCTCCTTTTTCACTTCAGGTCGGGTCGAATATATTCTCAAAACCCGACCCGACTTGACCCGGTAGGAGCACTAGATAGTCGATATGTTATATCACGTGATTGCTCAAAAAATTATTATCCAGAAAAAAATCCTGTTTTACTTCTTTAACCTGCACCTTGTTGATCGTTCCGTTATTTGGGTTGTTTTGCGCCCGCAAGTTTTTCCGTTTTGCGTCACAAGGATTTTTCTCTTGTTTCTTTTTTCCCTCTAGGTCTTTCACCTTTTTGTCTTTTTGTTAAGAATTTTAACCTTAGCTTTTCTTCTTTTTCTATTTCATTCGTTCCTGAACCGTTACATCAACTTTCAATTTTCCTATACGATTTTGTAAACCTTCATATCTTTCTATTGTGTCATTTTGTTGTGCTAATATTGGTTCCCTGTTTACTGCGCCTTTTGAGCCGTTAGCTCTTCGACAATTTTCCTAAAGACTTCGAAACCATACTTTATTATGAAAACAATAATATTCTTGGATTTTATTATATCATTTTGTTGTAAAAACAAAAAAATCGGCCAACTTAATTTTGGCCAGTTTAATTTCAGCAGGAATTAAGACGATTTGGGCCAGAATTACGAAAATCCGGGTTTAACGAAAAATCATGTGCCGGCCTGGACCCAACCCGGGTGAATTTTGAAGAAAATTTGCCGGCCCAAACCCGGATCCTGGTCCGGGCCGTGTTAGGGTTCCGGGTTCCGGGTCCCATTTGCAGACCTCTAATTCAATTTTTCTATAAAAATAATGTGGAGTATTGTTAATACTATAATCCAAATGCCTTCTTTTCAAGAAATTTTGAAGTTGAGGCGCGTGAACAATGTAAAAAAAAAAAAATTGTGTAAAAAAAGTCAACTCTACAATAGAAAAAGAAAAAAGCAATAAATGGTAAAAAATTTCCAATGACAAATTTTAGGCGGGTATGGTTTTGCTAACGTTAATTGTTTTTTATGTACTGGCGTGGGGAAAGCGGTGAGATAATTACTGAGCGAGTAGGCCGCATTCAGTTATTTTTGTCTAGTTTTATAACACATTCCCTGGACCATGGGTATTTATATATAGTAATGGTTTTTTCTTTAGGATCGAGGTTTATTCTGCTAGGTTTCAATTTTTCATTTTGCTTTTATTTTTTTTTGTGTGTTTTATTTTATTGGACGAGTTTGAACGGGTGGAGGGTAGTTTCTATTTATTCATGTGTTATGCAGCTGCATGGCCCGTTACATATATTGCGTATGAGCTCTTTGTATTTAGATAAATTAAAGTCGCGTGACCGTTTGGTCTGCGATTCTAGGTATAAGACTAAAAATAGGTAGTGATAATATTTTACATTACATAAAGGAATATATTATGAAGAAAAAAAGAGTCAAGTATTTGGCTATTATGGATTGTAATAAGAAGAAAGAATTGTTTGATTTGAAAGACGAAGTGAGGGAATTCGAGTTACATATTAAATATTAAAGTTCGAAGATATAGTGATTTAGATATTAACGTTTATGACTTTATAAAGAATATTGATTAGTTATAAAAATGAATGATATTTGTAAAATTATTAATTAAAGTTGCTTTACATATTCACTTTTCTAAAACAAAATATTTATTTATTTATTTATTATAGAGATTTAATGAGAAATTTTTTTGTTCATGACAAATTTATAAATATTTAATCATTTTTAGAAATGGACAGTCCCCATTTCGGTCTGGTCTGGTCCAAAAAACAACACTGGTTTTTCAGACCATGAATGTTTCAAATAATTGTTAGCTTTCAAAATAATCTGATATTTCATACAGAAATTAATCTGAAGTTTATGCAAGTATCTGGATGTCTGTCCTAATGATGATGTGCAACAATAAAATCTTTAAATGGCATGCAGTTCTCTTAATAATGGGTTTATCTTTTATTTTTAAAAGAAAAGGATATAACATTCTCAACAGCTTAAACATACACATTTAAACAACAGAGTGCTATAACATAGTACAATTAATCCAAAACAAAACAAAATTATGCTACATAAATTTATTAAACCTAACTAAACAAAATCTTTACATGTTTCACTATCATAATTAATCCTTAATAGTGTTTAATTAAATCTGTGCTTAATTATTAAAACATGTTACTCACAATTAGTCAGCATGAATTGTAGACAATATATGCCATGATTTACCCAGTTTGACACAATAATAAAAATTTAAAGATATTTACAGACTAGGAATTGAAACCCATAATAATATTGATCGCCTAGTGAATACTAATTAATTATAAAAAAATCATAATGGATATACAATATTTTGCATAATTTATTATGCATCTTAGAATTGCTAAACGATATCAACTAAAATGCATGAATGTGAAGATAGTTTTATCAAAATTTTACTTACATAGTTTTAAATGGTGATTTAAAACAAAATTAAATGGATATAAAATTATTCAGTCTTAATGGATTGTAAATACGCATTGTTATTAGTGATTGTATCCTAAGTATTCGAATAAAAAAATCTGTCACCGTTAAGTATGAAATCCCCAACAATGAGTCCGATTATCTCTGCTTAGGAAATACATATGATCTAGTCATGTGTAATCGATCACCTGGAAAAATGCGCAGTGCGATATCGGGAAAATTCTTGCTGAAGAATAGGGCTGTACAACATAAGATTTGCACATATATTCGCATTATTTTTTTTCTCTGACTCGACTTGTATTATTTTTTATGGCGAAATGAATAAAATAATCATGTATAGTAGTTTGCAGGCATTAGCATAGGAATTCGTCATGTATCATGGGCTACGTCCTCGCACCACGTAATTCATTTTAGTTTAATGTATTGCAAATAAAAAACGTTTAGGGTAGTCAAATATTTTTCTCGTGGCGATTGGTAGACCGTACATAATAATTTTTTATTGTTCGAGCGTTATGCATGTTAATATAGGTAATTTAGGAAATCTGGGCAAATTATTGGGCAATAAGATTGCCAGCACTTTCATTCTCAAACTTTTTCGCATATCCTCAAAATTGTTACGTATATTATTGTAAAAGGACCCCTTGATTATTTTAAATATGAATATTAAATTCTTTTATTGTTAAATTAAGGAGAATCCGTTGATCAGATTTTCGTGATGCGATCATATTAAATTTTCCCAAAAGTGTAAAACAAAATCGATCCTGCGAATTATATAAAAAAGTGATGTTTTTATTAGTGAATCCTTTTATTCGCCTTGTGCAAGTAAAACAAAAAAATCAAAACCAATCTAACCTACCATTATTTGCATCATCGGTATTTACAATCAAACGAACCCAATAATAAAGTAATTGCTCGGCTAGCATGCCATCACGATGTTAATCGATTTCCACCTCTATAGATGTTCCAAAATAAGACGGATATATTACTCTTCTTTGCTATGTATTGCCGAGAAAATCTTTGACAATCATCACGTGTACAATAAACGCCAGTGACTATTCACGTGAATCTCGTCACATGCCTTAACTCAATAAAATTTGGCGCAGTGTATCTAATATAATAAACACCAAATTCTTGGTATTTGGCGCAGTATCGTGTGTATTATACAGATCCAGAGTTATGTGACTTTGAAATCAGCCAACTGCGTAAATGATCAACTAAATTAATCAAATCAATCTCGATTTCTCATAAAAAGTTCATCTTTTATCTAGACTCGGACTCGTACAAGTGTACAACTGCACGTCTTAACGTCTTAATAAGAAGTAATTATGTCTATCGTCTATGAGGCAATCAAAGCCCTAAGTTTCACACCAAAAGAAAAAACTGACCTACGCGCATTCTTCGTTAATAATCCAGATAAAAGAAAGGAAGTAGAGCTCTTCATTTTTGAGTGTACTGATGATGAGGTGGTTTCTTGTTTGAGAAATGTCTTAAAGCCTGGTACGTTCTCTCACAGATTTTATCAAATATAGGATAATGATGCTTTCTGTCATATTTGCCAATAATACCGAATACTCAATTAATCTTGTGCTTTTCTTTCCTGCTTCTTATCGTCAAACCCGTTCAAAAAACACATTCACATTGTCGTAGAACCTGTTACTGGTAAGTGAGTCGTAATACTTTTGTCAACGCGAGTGAACAGTTCTTTTGATACTTATACTGATTTTTTCGCTGTCAAAACTTAACTTATTTCTTCTTATTATATAGCGCCTCTCCAGGTGACTGAGAATCAAGATCTGAATGGGTTTATAAAAGCTTTGAAAGATACGGATTTTAATACAAAAACAAGTGATCTTTTAGAGTTGGCCGATAATACCAAATTTTTTGGACTAAAAAATCAACCATCAAAACTGTTTATTCGTAATTGCTACAAAGACCTGTTCCAAACCGTCTTGAAACCTGAAATAAGAAATTTACGTATCTCAAATAGTCTTGGAATCGGAAAACCATTTTTCGGTTATTACTTACTTTATGATCTCCTAAAAAAAGATAGAACAATTGTATACGAACTCCATACTATGAAAAGTAGTGTTATCCTCTTTAAAGAGGGTAAGGGTTTCTATCTTAACGAGATTTTCAATCACAAAATTATAAGAAATTACTTGCATAAAGAAAATACTTGGTATATCATTGATATAATGCTTCTGTTGCTAAGACAATTCTTATTTCTTCACCAATGAAGAGTCACTATCATGACTTTGATAAGGGTGACTCAGTAACATACGAATCATGCCAGTATGGACTTGGGAAGAAATTAATTACTGTAGACAAAAGCTTTTCGATAATCTTGATGAAAATATGGTTAGTGAGTTGTATATAAAATGGGGAGGGATCCCTCGGTATATTTTAAAGGAAGCTCTAAATAGTAGTATTCAACGTAAGCTTATACAAAGTGGTTGACACTTGTGATGAGAAAATATTCCAATACATTGGTGGAAGTAATATCAGGGAGGACGTGAGTCATATACTTGTTCATATGTGGACAAACGTTCCGGAGGATAATAATGTTTTGAGAGATGAGGAAAGCACTGTAGATGAAGGCGAGGTCAAATATATTGCTGAAGAATACTATACAGAAACAATTATAAAATTTGCGTCTGACTATGTAGGTAACATTATATACGAGAGGCACAAATATTCAATAATAAGACGATTACAGGCAGAAGTAGAAGCATGCCAAAACAGAATTTTGTTACTCCTAAAGATGACATTTCTTGGAGATTGCCACGTTGTATTAAAGATCATGTTAAGCAATACGTTCTTGGAATTGATTTAAGTTCTGGAGATTTTGGAAATTTACCAAGAACGTCATCTACCGCAACAATTGAGGAAGGAGTCTCAACTATTGGAGAGCCATCGGCTTCTAATGTAGCATCATCTGACTCCATCATCCCTGCAAAAGGCCCTCTAGTGGAAATCAAAGTAAAGGGAGTAAAGGGAAAAAAAAAGCAAGTTAGTAAGAATGCTGCGTGATGCATCACGCGATAGCCTTGGAACTCAATTTAGTATATATACAGTGTAATAAAAATATGTTTTTATCTACATCGGGCTAGTGATTTTTAACATAAGTATGTTACATGTGTGCGTGTTTTGACGCGAACATCATAAATAAATTTTTTATTAATACATGTGCATTATTATTACGCCTGTCTGTATGACCAGAATATAAAAACTTTCATATTGAAAGGTAGCCCAGTATATGTGGAAAAATTCATCCATCGCACAGACATGTCAAGTGATCAGCCATTACATCATTGCGATCATCCTTTAACCTAAGGTAGGTGTGTAGACCTTTAAGGCTTTAACCTAAACTGGTATACGATAAAATTTGGTATATATAATAAGATTTTTCGATTCATATGTTCTAGTTCCGTTTGCTCTGTACGCATTTTCGTCTTGAAAGGTATGTCACTTTCTTTTTTAATTTATTAATTTATTATTTTATTTTTATTTTATTTTACAGTTGAAGTAATTTTTTAAGTATAAAATATACTGAAATATTTTTATTGAAAACAGATAAAAAAGTAAATATATTATTAGTGATAAGCTTAAAGGTCCCAAAAGCTTTCATAGAAGTTTTACATAATTCTTTAGTCATGTTTTATTAGTAAGAGTCATAAAATATATAAATTTTGTATATCTAGTACAAAAATATGGTCTATTTATTATTTTTTTTAAAAAAAAAATAATAAATAATATATTTACAACAAATTTTATAAATTAAATAAAATTGCAGAATTATGAAAGTTATTTTAGATAAATATTTCTTTGCTCTTTTTCTTAAAAATACTATAGTACAAAAATTTTTTATATAAGATAAATATTCTTAGATAAACACAAACCGAAACTTGACCAATGAAATTCATCAAATTTCCCCAGTTTAGATTAAAGGTCTACACCCCACCTTAGGTTAAGAACGCTCCATCATTGCGCAAAAATTTTTGCGTGATGCCGGCGGTTATGAATTGGATTGGATTCCCAACCATAGCTCAGAATAATCGAACATGCCTACTACTTTATCTTGCCTTATATTCTTGACCGTAATAAATCTGTTACCCTATCGTATATGTACATATACTGTACTTGGCCAGATTACATAGTGGAATAGGGTTAGTAGTAAACTTACCCATTGTCTTGCGACGGTTATTTCTTGATTTTTTAACCATTATTACCAATCAGGTTATCCGATTGAATTAATCTGCGGACCACTCGGACCAGTGCAACAATCGCAGGAATATCAATGCCATGTTACTGCTCATACTGCGGAAGAATTTCAGTGAGCTAGAAACTTGGAAAAACTCGGTAAAGTATATGGGAGGAGGGTATGGCATTTAATTGTGTTAAAGAAATGTATTAACGTTTCTTTTTTCATTTTTTTAGGTTTCCAGACTCCTAGAAATTAATTGTGTTAAAGAAACGTACTAACGTTTCTTTTTTTCATTTTTTTCAAGTCACCGGACTCCCAGTAAGTTAGAATATAAATATTTATTTAATAGAAGGTATATAAGTATTAATCCCCTGTCGCACTAAGTGTCACTCATGATCACCTTCATACTAATTTTTAAAAATTGCGAGTGATTAGTTGAGTTTATAAATGACCGGGAATCTTCGTTTAGTTATTTCCCGGTCTCATATAGATAGCCGGAAAATTACTAATTTTAGTTTAAAATAGTTAAAATAGTTAATATTTAATGAGTGACACGCTCCAGGGGATTACCCATTTATTTCCTGGGAAGGAAAACAATAGGCTTTTTTCCCTTCGGGAAAAAAATTGGCTTTGGGTAGGTGAAGGTTCGTGTCGGAACTTCTTTTTAAATTTTTTTTAAATTTATTTAAACATTTTTTCTTTATTTGTAGATATCGGCTTCGGTTCTGGGACGTTGAAGTCTAATTGCTTGTGAAAACTTTATGTACATGATGGAAAATTCGAAGGATGACTGAAACAGCAAATCAATTACTAAATCGCGTCACCCCGATTTGCACATGCCAAGTTCCAGGTTCAACTAATACAACAGAACCAGCTTATTCTCGCTTTCAATATGTCATGAGAGAATGGCGTGACTTCAACCGAAGTGTAATTTTAAACCGTCGGAGAACAGTTCCGTATTTCTAGCTAATGCATGAGATCTACATGTAGAAGTCGATGCAAAACTTCATCTTTATTCTAAGGAATGTTGGATGTTTCCGATTTCATTTTATGCACCAATAATCCCACAGCATGCCTGTGGAAATTAAAACGTTTCACAATTTGAGGTTAGGTAATTATAATCTCTGGGAAGTTTATCGAAATGCTGGCTGGGCTCAAATAACGAATCGAGATTTTAGGTTTAAAAAAAGGATCTTATCTCAGGTGTTTGGCGAAATGGCCTGCAATGGCTTATATTACAGGATCTTGACAAACTATTCCGGTACGTACTTTTATAGATGACCGGAAAATGAACCAAATAAAATACAATAAGTTGTATTGCCTTCATATTTTTTTTCATAACCAGTTATGATTTGATCAATGGGCTAACCCGTAAAATTTATCAAATATTATGATTGTAATGAGACATTGATATTATAAATAATAACGCATATTTTTATAATTTTTAGTATCGTGGCTAAAAGTTAATATCATTTATACAAAAACATTTTTTGACTTAACAGAAATATTGAAGATGGCAAGAATATTGGGATGAAGGAATTTCTTCAAGTTCGAAATAGTATAATAGGAATTAGTAATGTCCTTTAACTCTTATTGGTCCACAATAATACACTCATATGATCATATCGTTGAAGTTAATTTTTATATTTGATTATATAATGTCTATAATAACACTCACTGGAAAATTATAAATTCTTTAATTAAGTAGTTTCTGAATATCTGGAGAAATTATAATATGAAGAAATTAATTTAATATAATATTTTTTCTGAAATAAAATATTTTTTCTTAAGAGGATCCTCAAAGACTAAACGTGGATTTGATTTGATGTTAATGGTTGTGACAAAAAGACAACAACATATAAACTTAAAAAATATTAATAAGATGTTATTTATTTAATTTGCTCAATTACAAACCGATTTATTTATAAAATAAAATTTACATATATATACTAAATAATCTATAATCAGTGTTGAGCAAATAATATAAAATATATATCATAAATGTTTTGCAAAAATGACTGTGATAACCCAAGTGTTCTGAATTTCATTCTTAATTATTTGTATATATTTAATTCAACCTTGCAATCTAACATTTAGAGTTATCATTATATTTTGGAAGATCCTCTATAAAAGGATTAAGTAATCGAGATACATAAATAGCTTGTGGATGAATAGCTGCTTGGTAATTTTTAATGGATGAAAGATTTGATTTTCTATATTTTTCTGCCTCATTAAATTGCACTTCAATTTCTTCATTTTCTACAATAAAAAAATCCACTCCAGATGATTTATAAAATGATGTGATTAAATCATCTACCTCAATAATATTTGGTCTATTGTTTGGGTCTGAATCCCAACACTTTTTCATTAAACTAATATAACAGCTTGGCGTTTCTGGTTCATTTATTTCTGGCCTCACTTCTTTACAAATATCTAATGCAAGAAGATGATCATGTGCACGATTGTAAAAAGGTTGTCTTCCAGTTGCTACAAAATACATGATCATACCAAGGCTATAAATATCTGCTGCTTGAGTATAAAGCTCCCCCCTTAACACTTCAGGAGCCACATAGGGCATAACTCCATAAATTTTTGTTTCATCTTTATTACCAACTTCTCCAAATAACCCCATGTCTGAAATTGATATATAATTACTAAAATTATATATCTTTTCACTTAAAAATAATACATTTCCCGTATGAAAATCATGATGAATATGTTTTTTTTGATGAATTTCTTTAAGACCACAAATAATATTATCCAATACAGATAATTTATCTTGCCAATTGAAATATTCATAATTTTTATTTATCCAATTATTAAAATTTCCTTTTTTTGCATATTTGAAAACTATAATATATTCCTTTGTATTTGGATTTTGAGAGATTCCATATATACTGAGAATATTACTTCTTTTGTTTATTGGGAAATTTTTAATCTGTTTAGGTAAATAAAAAAATTATTATTTTATTATGGATTTTAAATTTAAATTCATAAAAAAATTTTCTATAAAAAAATGATTATTAAAAAATTACATACCTCATTTAAAATTTTATTGTTAATATTTTGTGAATTATGTAAACATTTTAAGGCAATTATTTTATTTGGATCCCTTTTATATATTTTATTATCTTTATCATATTCTAATAAACCATCTTTCCATTTTGCTGAATATACTGTAGCAAATCCTCCTTTACCTATTTCCTTAATATTATTAAACTGATTGTATGGTATCCATTCAAATATTATATCATCATGATCATTTATTTTTAATTGCATTTCTTGAATAAAATCATCAATTATTTCATTTCCACTTAAACAATTTACTAAGTTTATGAAATTATTTTGAACAAAAATATAATCATACGTATTTGGATTTTGAGATATTCCATACAATACAAAAGATGCCCCATATTTTGTTGAATATTTCTTAGCCTAATAAATAATAAAAAGAAATTAATACACTTATTATTAAAAGACAGTATAATAAATATTTGTAAGAAATTTTATACCTTATTTATTAGGAAATCAATAGAATTTTCTGAATTATGTAAGTATTTTAAAGCAACTTCTTTATTTGAATCTCTTGTGTATCCACCGTGATGATAATGCAATGGTCCATCTCTCCATACTGCTGAGTGTACTGTTACAAGACTATTTTTGCTTGTTTCTTTAATGCTGTCTCTTATACACATCTAGATGTGTATAAGAGACAGCCATACTGCTGAGTGTACTGTTACAAGACTATTTTTGCTTGTTTCTTTAATGTGATCAAATTGATAGTATGGTATCCATTCAAATATTACATCCTCATAGTTATTTATTT